CACATGGCCGCACAGTTTTCAAATCTGACAGATATTACGGGGAAAAGTCTCCCCGTACTGTCAGAAGGAATGCGACGGCGGCTGCAGGAACATGTTACAAAGGTGAACTTATCCTTTGAAGCAACCATGACAAGCCTGGGTTCACACAGGAGCTTTGAGGGAACCGCATATGATCCGGACAGGAATCTCACTGCACTTCTGTTCAAACTGCATGCAATTCTTTGCAGTGCCAGTTGAGTCCATTCATTTTGAGCTCATGCAAGTACTCTGTATCGGTACCAAATACCAATATTGGTGCAGCCCTACTCCTAATGGCCCATTTTATTTTAGGACAGGAGAAGGGGGAAATAAATTGAGGGAACACACATAACTGAACATGATTGCTGCATAGGTACAGCCTGACAAGGGACTGGCGATTCTTTCAGCTCTGGATCAGAGCCTCTGCTGTGGACAATATTTGTAGCTGGGCAGTTTCCTCTTAGAAGCATTATTATAACAGAGCAAAGACACAGAGCAGAGGAACAGCACTCATACAGGGACTTAGGACCACACAGGAAATAGACCATATCCTGTCCACTGACCAGGCCCCCCCAATACGGTTATGGAAACCGAACAGAAATAAACATCTACTTACATTCAGATAGAGGCTTTAGGACAGTCTGGCTCCTTACATCCGACTCCACTATTTCTACTGCTCGCCTGGAAATAGGAAATACACTTACTGCATGTAAACACAAGAAACCTAAAGCATCAATGGGTCAGTAACACAAGGGTTCACAACTAAATATGCAACAAAATACAATGAACCCAAGGATCCTGACAGATTGACCATTGTTACAGAATGTTGTAGAATAGATATATACAGATATTTTTCACAGGTCAAAGGCTTCAGGAAAACAAATAGAATTTTAGGGACTATGAAACAGAATAGAAGGAAAGGTGAATCCATGTCTTAATTTATATACAGGATTTTCCTCCACTTAAAAGGTTTGTTGATTTTTTATAAATAGGATGCTGGATTTGGTTATGAAATTGGGACAAAACAAAGAAAAAAAAAAAAGGGTAAACAAGTATAAGTTACCTGCAGATATCCAGGGCCTTGCGGGCATCTCCAGAGACTGCTGACACCTTCCTGGCACAAAACTGAATTGCCATGTTATCTAGAACCTGGTCTCCAGACACCTACAGACAAAATCAGATGAGCAGATTATATAACCAATAATATCATAAAAAAGCAATTACACAGTTTCCCATTCTGACACCACAAGCTTAAACATGCCAAGTAGAATGAAGAAAGGCTTGTTAAAATTACATCACTGCAGTCATATTCAACCAAGATTACAATGGGTATGAAAACAGAAGTTAATACAACTGCATATTATTTTGACATGACTAATTGGGCATTACAGTTTTAATTGCATAACTCAGTTTTACAGAGGAGAAGTATATCCCACATTTCTTATCTCCAGTTTGCGGGGGGGTTAACTCAAAAGGGCAGTATTAATCTTACCTAATTAAACCAAGGGGGTTTGGATTAGCTGTTTTACCAGAGCACAGAAGCTTTAGAATTCATTACATTTACTTCATGATGAATAGAAAAGTAAAAGCATAATACATTTTTTAAAAAGCACCAAGCAGAGCACTTAGAAGATCAACCCATTCCTTTATCAGGGCAGATATTAGATTTACTGTAGGTGCCTGCGAGCCTGACATTAGTGGAGCTAGAAGGAAATGCATGCTGAAAGTTTCTATACAAAAAAAGGACATTGAACCAGCACAGCGTTCTTTTCAACTAACCCCAAATTGCTTCACTCGTTTCAAGGTGGAGCTTTGCTTTTTGCCAGGGGTCTAGAAACTAAATAAAGGGCCAGTTTAAGGTCCATCAAACTTTAGGGGGGCCGAACTGTGGCCTGTGAGGGGAGAAAATGTCCTGGTGTCAGTGGGAGAAATAGTGCCCCATCATTGGTGCCAGTGGAAGAAATAGTGCCCCATCGTTTACATCAGTTGGAGGAATAGTGTCCCATTTGTGTCAGCAGCCAGAACTGTGCCCCACTGTTGCTCACAGGCCATATAAAAGCAAGCAAAGGGCCACAGTTTGGAGACTACTTCTTTACGCCATTAAAATGTTTAAAACCGTTTAGCTGTCAAAGTTTCTGTTGCAGTCAAGAAAACAATTCAACATAGTTAGAAACCATCTCTAGCAACATATTTACACACCAAAAGAAATGGATTTACCATTACCATTGTCAGAGCATAAAAACTGAAAAAGGGGGAGAGAAAAAAACAAAAAAAACAAAGCAAAAAAAAAAAAACAAAAAAAAAAAAACCCCCACACATTTAAAATCCAGCCTACACAATGAGCAGACCTTGTAGGGGACATTTACTAAAACTGAAGCACACAGAATCTGGTGCAGGTGTGCATGGTAGCCGGCTTCAAACTTCAGCTTGTTTAATTAAAAACGTTGACAATAAAACCTGGAAGCGGACTGGTTTCTTTGCAGAGCTGCGCCATATTTTGCATGCTCCAATTTTAGTAAATAACTCCATATAACATAGTGTAGCAACCATACCTGTGTCAGCCTGTCTTGTAGTATAGTGACAATCTGATCCTTTGTGTATGGAGAGAAATTGAGCAACTGAGGTCTGCAATGAGCACGAGCCTGAAGCCTGGGCAAGATACGGTCTGTCAAATCCAGAGCATTTGCTATTCCTAATTGAGAAAATTAATAAAGTGTGTGAGGTGGAGGGAAGGAGAGATGACATACAGTAATTCATCTGGAAAACTATGTTCTGTAGCATGCAAGCTATACAAAACAGGATTGCTGAATGAATATACACACATCAACAATTCCCAAAAGACAGTTCATCTTCACAACTCACCAATGAGCACAACTCTGGAGTTTGGAAGCCAGGGCCACTCAAACACTGTGTACAGCACATCCTGCCCTTTGCTGTCTAACTGATCCATCTCATCTAGTACAAGAAGGCTGCAAAACGGAGAAAACCATTATCAACTTATGTAAATACCACAAATACAAGTTTTACTTATGAGATCTGCAAGTGAATACAGAGCAAAGTAACAAGTTGTTCCATTAAAGTGTTATAATGACACTGCCAAACAGAAATAAGGTGTGTGTTCTTTGTAAAATCCCTCCACATTATTGAAATCCCAAATGCAAATGAATGCAGGAACTTCCCAGTAGGCTCTTTATACAATGCTTTATCAAAAAGCCAAAAAGATGAAAAAAGGGACACCAAATGTTGATGCATTGGAAATGCAAGCAGCAGTTCAAAAGTAAAATAAAATAAAGGATGTTTATTGCACATACATGGCAGGCCCCTTGGAGGTGACCATCTTCTCCAGACTCCTGACCATATCTTTCCCAGAGGTTGAAAGCTTTGATGACCCAGAGATCTCTTCTGCTATGGCTGGGAAGACTGCCAGGGAACTCCTGAGACGCATACAGTTGATATACACAGTCTTTGTATCCTTTAAAATCTCCTAGTATGGTGGACGAAAAAAAAAGAAGTCACAATGCATTAGAATTAATGAGCCAAACAGCTGATAGTACTGCTCACCACATTTTGCTCACCCAGCATGACTATCTGGATTTAATTAAGTCTATTCTATTGAATATCACAAGGCAGAAGTATACCCCCCTCAGAATGGTTTGTTGCCCCGACTAGTAAAATACCTTGTTCTCTTGCAGCAGCTTGCTCAGACATGCAGTTTTGCCAGTTCCTGGAGCCCCAGAGATGTAAAGGCTGCCAGGCTTCTCAGAAGAAACATGTGTCTTCAGAAAGGAAAGTATGGCTGCCGTCTCCTTTTCTCGTGCCAGCAGACGTTCTGGCACAGCTGTGTTTAGTGCGCATTTCGCCTTCTGATAGCAGGTCCCTGTACAAAGCAGAGGAAAGAAGATAGGCAAAATGAGCTGAAATTACTAAGCTGTGATACAGAATGGCACTAGGACAAGAGGTGTCATTCAGGATATTTCCCAAGAGGTAAAGGATCCTAAAGGGCATTGGCCACTTGGCTTATACCTGTACAGAACAAACTTCAAAGGCCCGGAGCTCTTACAATAAGAATTTTTAGGGTTCAATAATGAAAACTGATCCAAAATAAGGTCAAGGTAAACTTCAGGGCACAACAAACATGGGGAAACCTTTATGTTATCGCAAACATTCACGAATACTTCATTCAAGAATTTACATAGTAATATACAGTATTCAGGGTGTGTCACAGACTAGACAGACGTTCCAGCCATTAAACACTTTCTTTTGGAGTTTTTAGATGGAGTAAGTTGGTTGCAAACCCCTGAAATGAAAAAAAAACCAAAAAAAAAAAAAAACAAAGTATATCTAGTATGTACTGGCCTCTCTCTGAAGTGTCTAGTGCGATTTCTGTCTGCTTTGCCATTCCTCTTCTCTGTGCATGAGTCACTTTTGAGAGGCTATGCAGACACCAAGCAATCCTGGGAGTGGGCCCCACCCCACCACAGGTGATCGAAAGCCTCAGCTGCGCATGTTTCCCTATGAGACTGTGCGAAGGGTGGGGGTGGGTCCTTTCCCTCCACTCAGGTCTCAGATTACACTCAGCTCTTCTCTCCTAGAGCCAAGACATGCTGTGCTTTAGGAGACAATGGAGGAGAGCTACAGCTAAACAGGTACAACTTATGTAGGAGGATTTGTTCCATCTCAGTGCATCACCTGAGGCTAGTCACTTCAGTTGGCATATGTAAGGGTTTACAAAATCATTAAGTGCTCAAGTCCAAGGTAAAAAGGTTGGGGGAGCAGCTTCGATCTGAAAGGCAAGTCTAGAATACAGCCATCTAGAACAGTGACTGTTAAACAGTCCAATTCTCGTTTATATTTTTTGTGAACAGAAATGGACATACTACAAAAATGCCTAATGCAAAAGTTCCAAAGCTGTGGTTTAGAGTTGTTTCAGAGTCCAGGGTGGACATACTCGTGTCCTCACCTTCCTGTTTGAACAGCCTTGTACACACACTCTTCCTCTCCTGTGGACCACGATGGGAATTACTGGATGGCGTTTCCTGACCTCTTTGAGGGGATGAAAAAGTAGTGTGCTGAGCCTTCTTACTGGGGGACAAGGGAGTTGCAGCCGCCTGATTCTCATCAAAAATCAGACGCCTCCCCTTGGCAGGGCTGAGGGGTCCATTTTCATTGCAACTTTGTTTTGGAGGAGAGCAGCGGAGTGACTGGGGAACATTGCAGAGATTATCATCACCTAGAAAAAAGACGACAAGATGATAAACAGCTTCCCAAAAAGACAGCAAGCCCATTTCAAGACAAACAAGCATGGTTTTTACCTAGTCTCTTCCGTGGACTTAGAGGTAGTTCCTTAGAGACAGGCAGGGGTGGCAGAGTACCAGCTTCTGATTTAGCCCGGGCTCGCAGCTCTGCCTTTACTCCAGTCTTGGCAGTCTTTGTCTTGGGAAACTGGATGGAGCTCTGAGATTGGGACCTGGTGCTTGGCATGGCTACAAAACAAAATGCTACTTTATAACCAAGACCCACAAAAACAAAACATTTTGTTAAAAAAGAACAAAATTAAACCATCGTTCCACATGTGAGCAGTTAGATCACATCCACAAAGGTGCAGAGGGACGGTGTTTATGCAGCCAGAAGTGTCTGCATACAGCCACCTGTATAAATCAACCGCCTGCAGATGCACGCCTGTCATTATCTATCTCAGGGATTGTGCTTTTCAATGCATTTTGCATATGTTCTTTAAAATCATTAAGTCTGAACTAAAACGAGATTAGGCCTAGCCCTGAGTTAATAATATATGGGTTGAACAACCAGACACATTTTTATTATTCAACAATGCCAACTGACATTTACCCACTTCCCGTCTGGCCCATGTACATTAACAGCCGGACGGGAGCAGTGCCGAAGTGGGTGGCTGTTTATAAACGACCCCCACATTTACTGCCTGTGCGTGCTACCCGGGAGCGCACGGCACCGTGATCCAGTGCCCGCTGTGTCCTCAGGACACAGCGGAACGCGATCGCTGTATGGGACCTCTGTGTGAGGTCCCGATCATGTGATCACTCATTGGCCAATCGGTGATCACATGAATAGTAGTAAGCAAGATGTCACTTCCTGACATCATTGCTTACTACTAGTGAAATCTGTGAATGATCACAGAGGTCACACGGTACAAGGCTATTCACAACAGCCTTGTACAATGTGACCAGATGTGACCAATCACAGCTCTCAAAGTATTTCTCAATGGCTGCAAGAATGCAGCCAGAGAGAAGGGGAAATGATTACTTTTACAGCCTTTATGGGTGTAAAAGCAATGTAAAAAAAAAAAAAAAAAAAAAAAACTTTATCACCCCCCACAAGTAGTACAGTGTCACCATGGTGACACTGTACTGCTAGGGTGACAATATGTAAAAAAAAACAAAAAAATTATAAAAAGAAAAAAATTTGTTTAAAAATTATAATTTTTGGTTATAAACCAATTTGAGTTATTTTTTTACTAAAAGATAGCTGAATACATTTTGGCCAAGATTTTATGAAGAAAGATTTGCTAAATTTTATAAGAAAAACACTTTTTTTTTCAAAAGTTTTGGACTTTTTCATTTATATAACAAAAAAATAAAAATCCCAGTGGTGAATAAATACCACCAAAATAAAGTTTTATCCGTCTCATAAAAATGCTAAAAAAGTCATATGGGTACAGTGTTGCATGACTGCACAATTGTCATTCAAAGTGTGATAGCACTGAAAGCTGAAAATTGACCTGGACAGGAAGGGGGTGAAAGTGTCCGGACCTGAAGTGGTTAAATATCAGTATATACTTTAGAGAAAAAAAAACATTCCTCATAAAATGAGATGTTTGAAAATGAATGGGAAGGCTAAACACTAGAGGTACTGCATAAACGTGGAGGGAGGATTGGCAACCAAAGTTCTGTTGTCATTTTCTTTTAGCAAGGTCTGAAAATTAAACTGGTACAGGCGGCACCCTTGACTTTTACCAATCCCCCCTCCCCCTCCCCCTCCCATAAGTGTCACACAACTGTGCTCAATAGTAGTACAGAGCCCAAAGCTCTTGCTGCTCTAATGAGCATGGCCTTCCCATTAACGATAACGAGCTTCAGGGAAGCTTCAGATTAAGTCATCAACAGGGAGCAGTTATAGCTTAATGAATGAGACAGCCGATAGCATGCAGGTTAACAAGTTTAATCAGTGTGTTACAGAAAACTAGCCTGCAAGATTTAACCCTTCACAGCATACATTACATGCTAAAAATACTTTAAAAAGGAGGGAACGCATAGGTGGTCACCATGGATAGTAAATTCAATTTGTTATTTTTATGCGTTTCCTCTTTCTCCGGTTCCTTAGCAAGTCAAGACACGCATCTGATCCTATGCTTGACACATTTAAAGGATTCCAATCCATAAAAAACTATTCTAGCTCTTACAGCAGATACCCCGGGCATACACTAATATGCTATGTATTCTAAGCACAACTAGTGTAAACATTTGAAATGATCATAAAATCAGCCTCTTGCAGACATCGGCACAACAACACCCCAGAGCAGGACAGGGAGCTCACCTTGTTGTAATGAATGCTGTTGTACCGAGAGGTAGAGAGAGCGCTGCAAGTAGAATGCTGCTCAATCAGGCTGGGAAGTGTTCTGGCCCAAAAGATATAATGCAAGGACCTACATGGACAATCCAGGCAATATACTCAGATATCCCCCTCATACTGCACAGCTGCTTTGTTAAAAAAAAAGTCTGTAGTTGGCCTAGGGGAGCCAAAGGATGATCTAACCCCAGTTTATGGCAAGCCTGTATGGGAACACCAGCAGACACGGCTAAATAATGTTTGTTGGCAGGAGATCAGTTAGACATATTGGAAACCCGTGTCTGACTGTTTACACAATGCAAGGCAAATGTTCGTGTTTAACCACTAGCCTACTGGGCACTTCTACCCCCTTCCTGCCCAGGCCAATTTACAGCTTTCAGTACTGTCGCACTTCCAATGACAATTGCGCAGTCATGCAACATTGTACTCATGAATTTTTTTTATCATTTTTATGAGACAGATAGAGCTTTCTTTTGGTGGTATTTAATCACCTCTGGGGTTTTTATTTTTTTGCTAAACAACCAAAAACTGAAGATATTGAAAAAAAACGTTTTTTCTTAGTTTGTTATAAAATGTTGTAAATAAGTTATTTTTTCTCCTTCACTGATATGCGCTAATGAAGCTGCACTGATGGGCACTGAAAGGCAGCACTCATATGGCACTGACTAGCAGCTCAGATGGACACTGATATGCACCGATATGTGGCATTCATGGACACTGATGGGGCTACACTGATCATCAGTACCCTGATGATCAGTGTACATGTCCCCACTGAGTAATGCCGATCACCGGTTCTCCTCTCCTCACGAGCTGTCAGCATGACAGTTCGTGAGGAGAGGAATGCTGATAATCGGCATTTCCTTATTTACATGCAATCAGTTGTGATTGGACACAGCTCATCACATGACAGAGCCACAGCTCATCACATGACAGAGCCACAGCTCATCACATGACAGAGCCACAGCTCATCACATGACAGAGCCACAGCTCATCACATGACAGAGCCACAGCTCATCACATGACAGAGCCACAGCTCATCACATGACAGAGCCACAGCTCATCACATGACAGAGCCACAGCTCATCACATGACAGAGCCACAGCTCATCACATGACAGAGCCACAGCTCATCACATGACAGAGCCACAGCTCATCACATGACAGAGCCACAGCTCATCACATGACAGAGCCAACGTCATCGGCTCTTTCCATTGATCCGCTGTGTTCCAGGGACACAGCACACCACCGATCAGCGCGCACGCGTGGTTAGAGTGGGTAGATGTCATATGACATCCTCCCATAACAAGCTGCCTTGCGCCCGTCATTTCCTTATATGGCGGGTGGGAGGTGGTTAAGGACCCAGAGATGTGTCAGGCATTTAATAGTTGACCATTATCTACAGTGGCCTTTGCTGGAATCCCAACATCTGCATCCACAGTAGGCAAGGTTACACAATTTACATTTAACTCCAGGCAGATAGTAAAATAAATAATGCAGACGAGTGCAGTTATTTATAAAAAATTATTATTTTAAAAGGCAACTATTGAGCTGTTTCCAGCTTCTTATAGACTCCCCCAACCTTACAGCAGAGTTCAAACTAAAGGGGCAGCACAGGGCCCAATCAGGCACCCTGTATGCACTTGTGCCAGCAAGAACATTCAGACAGCATGTTCTGTTGCTGTTCCTCCACTGTCCATTTACACGCTGGGAGGCAAGGAGGTGACAAAGCTGATTTGCCTAACTGTGGTAGAGGGAAGTACCCTACCCAGGCCTGACTGTGCAAATCTCAAGATCAAAATGCACCCCACTGACAGTGAAACAGCTTCCATATAGGTCAATGTGTATTCACCGTAGGATAGCACAAATCACACATAGCAGCCAGTGCACACTATGTGTGGTGTAAAATCATAATGGAATGGGGTGAATGGAGGTCCCACTACAGCTATAGATGGTCAGAGATGACTGAATCAAAAAACACTTATGTCTGCAGGTTTAGATTCCTATAGACAAAATGATTTTGCTTCCTTCTCTGTACAAGGCTGCAATCACACTTCAGAGTTTTCTAGCTTGAAGCTCAAAAGCTCCAAAAAAAGCTCAAAAAAAAACTTTAAAAGAAATTAACTGTTCTCTATGGTGTCTGTTCACACCTGATAGCATGAACAGGCACCATAGAGAACAATTGATTTTTTTTTTAAGTTTCAGCATTTTTGGAGCATCAACATACAAAACACTCAGGTTTGAATGCAGCCTAAGGTTCAGATAAAGCCACCCCCACCCACGATTCACCTTGCTGTTTGCCAAGACTAGCTGATTACTATCTGATGGGGACTTGTGTGCACACTGGATAAAAAGTTGTGTGGAGTGAGAAAATTCAGGACACAATACAAAACTGTTGCCAGAGCAAAAAAGAAACCTCACTCCCAGCTTTGGCAAAGCCAGAAATAAAATCAATGGCACCATGAATACTAACAGCAATACATAAAGTATGTATAGCCAGCTTTGTTTACACCACAATCTCTCCGATCACTGTGTGCATTTGCAGGCATCTTTTCAAACTTTTTGTTTGTGTTTGCATGCATTTGTGGTGCAGCATGCTGTATTTTTTCCCCCTCACACAAAAGCACTGCAATGGTGTAAACTAGGCTCATAGCAATACCTTCCCTTTTCATACATATGCGTTCGTATTGCTTTTAAAAACACCTTGGATTGCATCTGGTATAAATGAGCCCCTGGATGCTACAGGCCTGTTAAAAATCAACACCTGTGTGAGCCTAACCCCCCCCCCCCCCCCCTTGATCCAAAACTAAAGGAGAAAACAAAAAAAAAACAAGATTTTGCCCAGAGATAAACTTGAAACAAAGCATACACTTTTTCAATATGGCAGCCATCTTATTTCAGACCACTGAGATAAAATAAAAGTTCCTGTACATGACCGATCATTTCCCAGGTCCTCCACCCCAGAGGGGGCACCACAGCACCCCCATTTGTCACCCCTCTCATCCTTTCATTACCATTCTCATCTCGATTTACAAAAAACAAAAAGGGAATGAAAAGTGTATATATATATATATATATATATATATATATATATATATATACACACATATACATATATCACACACACACACATACATATATATATACACACACACATAAAAAAATAAATATATTATATATTTTTTTTGTGTGTATACACATACATACACACTATATATACATAATATACACACACACACACACACACACACACACAAAACACACATATATATATATATATACACACACACACACATATATATATATACACACACACTTGCTATTTAAATGTATTATAACCCAAGCCCATCACAGCCTCCTCAGAATGTGTATTTGGACTCCTCTGGTCCACCCCTCTACCCTCTCTCTCACACACAGTATATCATCAATGCTTTCACAATCCCCCTTCACATATATAATGAGAGACACAAATGAAATAGTCAATAATGAACAGACCTGAGCAATGAATGAGCCGATAGATATCTCCCCTCAGAAGTCCAGCTACAGACTGACCTCAGCCCGCCAAACTCCAGCAGCTGATTGAAGCGCGCGCTCGGAATCTCGCGCCAAGCCCCCTGATTGGGAGAAGTTGCACTGTAAGTTTCTTCTGATTCGTCCAACAAGCCAGCTGCTTTGGTTAGCGGCAAATTCCTCCCCCCCCAACAGCAGCGCTGACGTCAACATCCTGCCTTTAGTGTTCTTTTCCAATAAAAAAAAAAGCTTCTACAGTGGTAGGCGGGTCTCAACCATGTGCTCACACAGCACCAATGACATGCGCGGAGTTACTTGTCTCCCGCATAGTAAGCAGCCACGTTTGCGGTGGGATATAACGCAGTTGGTGGTTTTCTCCAGATACTGAATGCTAAACGGTTTGGAAGATGGAATGTACTGACTTGGCTTCTACACGTGCCAAGCTTCGTACAGTGTGGAATTGCTCCTGTTATTTTGCGTTGATTTTTAAACTTTAATACTGTAATGGGGAACTTCCCCTCTATCCAGGGGCAGACTGACCATTTGGAAATTCGGGTGCTGCCCGGGGTCAGTAGGGGGCCCCATGAGATGCCCCTAATACCCTTTTCATAGGCTTTTTTGAGTTTGGGCAAGGACACAGGGGCCCCATGATCCCCTATTGCCCGGGGGCCCCATGAGTTGTCAGTCCGCCCCTGCCTCTATCATAAAATATATAACAAAGGAGCCTTTAGAAATGTTTAGTAATGACCAAGGGCGGACTGATAACTCATGGGGCCCCCGGGCAATAGGGGATCATGGGGCCCCTGTGTCCTTGCCCAAACTCAAAAAAGCCTATGAAAAAGGTACCAGGGGCATCTCATGGGGCCCCCTACTGACCCCGGGCCCTCGGGCAGTGCCTGAGTTTCCAAATGGTCAGTCTGCCCCTGGTAATGACAAAAAGCAGTTACTTATCTAATAATTGTATTTTGTTGCTTTTTTGCTATTGCTTTTATTGGTGGCCATTTTGACTAAGGGCTGTTATGGAAAAACAAATATTTATATAAAGCCTATTGCAGGCCATACATGGGTCGAACTCTGAACGATTTTTCATCCAAAAATCGAAACTGTCGTTTGCTCGGAATTCCAATGGCACCATCAATGATTTTGAAAATTGGCCAACCAAGTCATAACATTCACCCCATAGAACAGGCAAAACTTTTGTTGCTTCCAGGTCACGGTTCATGCGCATATTCTTTTCGGAAAACCGATCCTACAATTTGACCATCGAGTTGAAAATCAGTTTTTCATGAATTTTCCAACATGCCCGATGACCGAAAAGGGGAGGAACCACAAGAATTGGCCGGTACCACTGACCCACTAACAGAGCGAAAAATCAGCCGATTAGTCTTATGTACGATATTTGGATGAAAAATTAGTCCAATTTCAACCCAGGTAGGACGGCCTTAGGCTAGGTTCACATCTCTGCATGTCGGGAACAGAGCTTTCCCAACTCCCAGAAGAAACGTGCTGCACTGTAGGAGATGCGCGGCGGTGTCATTCTTCAGCAGGACAAGTCTGGGTCAATTTTGACATTTCTCATACATGTAAAAATCAGCAGGTTTGGGCTTTTTTGCTAGATAACCCCAAAGTGTATATTTTTTTTTTCAATAGAGACCCTAGAATAAAATGGTGGATGTTGCATATTTTTATGTCACACACAATATTTGCGCTGTGGTTTTTCAAACAATTTTTAAGGAAAAATACAATTTAATCAATCTTAAAGTGTTACTAAACCCAGGACCTTGCGTTCGCCATATAGACCCATCGCCCCGCATTCGCCGTATGAACACAGGGGCCCGCATCCGCCGTATAAACCCAGAACCTTGCGTTCACCATTTAGACCCACCACCCCCTGTTCGCCATATAAAACCCATCACCCCGCATTCGCCGTATAAACCATTCACTGTATAAACCCAGGGTCCTGCGTTCACATTATAAACCCAGAACCCTGTATTCGCCGTATAAACCCAGGACCCCCCGCATTCACTATATCTCTGGTCTCCACAGTACTCACAACATGGAAGTGCAATTATTTTAGTAAATATAAACTGCTAAATACCTTTTCTCATTAGCCATTAGAGCAGTTTTTGTGACTTCGATCAGTGTGCAGCAGAGCACTAGTTAAAGCACGTAGGAGGAGTTTTCATTTTTGCTCTAAGAGGATGCAGAACTCCCGACCTCTGAACAGTGCTGAATGGCCCTGTGCTGAGCACATGCACTCTCCCTCTAGCAAAACCCACACTAAACTGAGCATGTGCAGAGTAACTCCTCACAATATGTCTTATCATGAGATAAGTGGGGGACACTGGAAGAAGGGGAGGATCAGAGAAGTCAGGATCAAACAGCCTTTTTATACAATGCAGAGGATTAACCCCTTAGGTTCCACAGTGAGATATAACTAGCATGCTTTACTGCATATACAGACTGATTTCACTATTGTGGGTTTAGTAACACTTTAATGTGCAAAAAAACATCATATAATACCCTATTGTTTGGTAAAATATAAAAAATGATGTTATGTCGAGTAAATTGATAACAAATATGTCACACTTTAACCACTTACCCTCCGGAGGATTTAACCCCCTTCCTGAGCAGGCCATTTTTTTGCGTTACAGCGCTGCGTTACTTTTAACTGACAATTGTGCGGTCATGCAACACTGCACCCAAATTAAATATACATCCTTTTTTTCCCATTAATTGAGCATTCTTTCAGTGGTATTTGAGCGCCTGTGCATTTTTTATTTTTTGCACTGACCAACAATTTTGAGAAAAAATACAATATTTTTTTACTTTTTGCTATTAAACATGTCCAGTAAAAAGATTTAAATCAAGTTTCATTATAAATATAGGCCAAAATGTATTCTGCTACATGGCTTTGCTAAAAAAAAATAAAAATCCCAATATGTGTAAATTAATTGGTTTCCGTGAACGTTATAGCGTTTACAAAGGACGGTATAGAAACTGGAATTTTTTTTTTCTCTTTTTCATACTAATAATGGCGGCGATCAGCAACTTATAGCAGGACGGGGGGATTCTGACACTGGGGGGGAACTGACTTGGTGTCACTGACATCCCCAGTGACATTAATACAGTGATCAGGAAAAAAAAAAAAGCACTGACACTGTACTAATGGCACTGGACAGGAAGGGGTTAACATGTGAGGCGATCAAAGGGTTAACTGTGTCCAGGGAGTGTTTTACTAGGGGGTGGTATGTTGGTGCTTCATTGGAAGCACACTGCTCTGGATGGCTCTGCTGGGAACTCTGCAATGGCCAGTAAGTTAAAAGTATACAAAGTATCAGAGTGGAAATGTTCTGCCCTGAGGAATGAAAATAAATTGTAACATTTCATCAGAGGAAGATCATTCTGTTAAGGAAAGCACATTAGGCTTCATGTACATGAGCCTACCCTGACCGCCAGGCGCAAGAAACCGCAAATAGCAGCAAAAACACAGTACCGCAGTTGCTGCGGTTTATCTTTTTCTGGCAGTTGGTGGTTAAAACGTTCCTATCCTTAATGCGATTCTTCCGTGTTCAGGAGAGGAAGGTTCAAACCTCACCTAAGCTCCTAAACTCTGCTAAAAGCCTATCTGTACATGGACACACAGGCTTTTATGAGTTGAGTTTAGGAGCTTTGGCAAAAAAAAAAAAAAAAGTCAAAAGCTCCTAAAATAGAGTTTAGGAGCTGCTCGTGCACATGAAGCCTTAGAACAGGCATCACTAAATGGCGGACCGGAGTCCGGATGCGGACCGAGTCACTGTCCCATACAGTTCTGTCATTTAAGAACCTTTATTTCTCCCAACTGTCTCATGGTCATCTTCACAGAGCTGACAGCGGGAGGCAGGACAGTTCTGGATGGAGGGTGGGAGCTGACCGAGGTTAACAAGCAGATGATTGGTTGCTAGGATGAAGAGCAGTCCTAGCAATCAAATTACTGTGTAAAGTAGGATGGGGGGGGCAAAGTTAATGGGGCTAAGGACATTAGTGTGAAGGGGTGCCGAGGACTGAATGTGGGGGGCTGAGGACAGCAATGTGGGGGGCTAAGGACTGTGGTTTGCGGTGGCTGACATTAAAGTGTGAGGGGCTGAGGACAGTAACATGGGGGGGGATGATGTAGAAAGGGGCAGAGAATACTCTTCAGTGAGGGGGGCAGAGGACAGTACAGTTGGGAGGGGGGGTTGATGTCAAGGAAGTGTGAGAACACTACTGTGAAAGTGGTGGAGGGGGTTGATGTAAAGGGGAAGATAAGGACACTCATCAAGAGAGATCTTGCTATGAATGAGGCGGGGACTGTGATGTGCAGTGGGGATTGAGGACACTGATGTAAGAACAGGCTCAGATCTGTACATGTGCATTTGGTGCACACATTGTACTGTAGGTAGGTCAGCACTACCTGTTAGAAGCCTGAAGAAGTCCCCGACCCTTTATATATATATTTTTTTTTTCAAAATTGCACCGCAGCAACACGTGGTTTGGCATACATGAAAGTGCACCACAGGGGCCTACATGAGATTTGAACCTCCGATGCATGTAAATTTTACTGCTCGGACCTTGGTGAATTTTAATTCAATACCTCTGCCTTAGAATGTTCTCAGTTTCATAACAGTGTGCATTTATTGCTTCCTCTGGTGCAATGTTAGCATGTAAAAGAAAAAAAAATTGCAAAAACACTACGCCAAAAATAACTAAATAAATTTAACTGATAAAATATTGCAAAACAAATATTTAACACGGTCAGTAAATAGCGCATTCGTTTTTGTGAATTGACTACTTTTGATGCAGGTGGTTTTTTTACCTTAATGCATAGAATTTTGTAGCAACCTGAAGAGTGATGCCAGCAGGAGCTGGAAGAGGAAAAGAAGGTCAGTGTATTAAACAATACTTACACTTCCTTTTGCAACGGCATATTAGCACCTATAAAAAAGGGTTAACAGCTATTAGGCTACTTTCACACTGATCAGTGCAATGCACCTGCAGGTTAGCTGCACTTTGCCATAGACTCCTATTATATCTTGCAGTTTTGGTGCGCCCTCAGACAGTGCACCACACCCACGGGATATATTAGAAGTCTAAGGCAAAGTGCAGTTGACCAACAGGAAAGCCGCAGGTGCACTGCATTGTACCCGTGTTGCAGGTAAAGCACAGTGCATCAGTGTGAAATTCCAATTCCCCTTCCTTCCGTCGGATGGAAACGGACAGGCGGTACGTTTTCATCTGACCACCCATTGAGGAGAGCGAGCAGCTCTGTGTCTGCTCTGCAGCAGGGAGCGGACACAGACCTGTCATCTGCTTGCTCAGTGGAGAGATCCCCTGCTAAGCAAGCGGATCTGCTAAGCAGGTCTGCCTCATGTGAAAAGACCCTTATAGTAACTCAGGACAGTAAGAGCTTGTTTACATTTGCGCTTTGGGGGTGGTAAAACCCCATAATTGAGATGTTTTACCACACCCCCCAATCACTGGTGTAGCATCAGGGATTACTATGGATACCCCGCCCCATGCTCCAGGGGGCCCGTGCGACCTCCCTGTCACATTCTGTTTTACACTTGAACCAATCCTCCATTTTCCTACTGCAACCGCTAAACTTCAGCTTCTCCTCCTCTCCCTCCTGTCAACATACAGCGGCTGCAGGAGAAAAAGGTTCAATATGCTAAAATAAAAAAAATTGAAATTCTGAACCATTTCTTTCATTGAGGTCTGCGATCGGTTACCAAATCACTTAAATGGCCCTTGTTCTTCAAAAAGGATGAGGACCCCTGCTGTAACCAGATTAAATTTTTGTTCACACAATTAGAGCTTTCTATTGGTGGTATTTGATCACCACTGTGTGTGTTTTTTTTTTTTTTTTTTTTAAATTCATATAACTTAAAAAACAGACATTTTGAAAAAAACACCACAATATTATTGTAAAACATATCCAATTAAAAACAAAACAAAAAACTAAAATGTCTTCACAAATGTAGGCCAAATATATTTTGCTACATCTTTGGTAAAAAAAAAAAAAATATTAATTGGCGTATATACTGGAATTTAGTCTGAAAGTTATAGCGTATATACTGGAATTTACACAGCTATGACGCTATACTGGTAATGGTGGTGATCAGTGACTTATAGTGGGACCCGTGATAGCGTGGAAAGCTAGCTGACGCTGGCTGTGAGGTACACTGACAGGGACATCAAAAGTGACAATACAGTGATGAATGCTAATACTGTACACTTTCACTGTACTAATGACACTGGCTGGAAGGGGTTAACATTAAGGGGCAATCAAGGCATCAATTGTGTGCCTAACAATGTGTGCTGCTTTTACTTTACCATATGGCTGTTTTTTTTTTTTCTCCCTGCAAAGAAGGGAGAAAAAGCAGCCAGATTGCTGTTCCCTGTACATAGAGTTCTGTGTTTTGTAAACACAGAACTCTTTGTGTGACTGGACACAGCCAATCAGCTGACTTCAGCCAAACTCATTGGCTCAAACTTGTGCTGTGTCCAGTCACAGCACGTAGTACGCAGTGGGTTGGCAGGGGGCACGCAGACCCAGAAGCAGGCAGGCAGGCAGGCGCACGCACGCACGCGCGCACGCACGCACGCACGCACGCACACACACTTTATAATAATATATATAAATAATACACACACACATACCTGCCCGTGCATGGTAAATGTATTGTGGCGGAGAAGTGCTAAAATTTTTTACAGTTTACTACTTGACAATTAGGCCTCATTCACACAGGGTATATAAATGCGTGAATATATAAAGTAGAAAAAATTGCCATCCTGATCGAATATGATTATATCCTTATAATACAAGTGTGGTTTATAAACCCAGCAATACTTTGAAAAACAAAATAGCAGTTGACTAGTGCAATGCCTGCCTAAATATGGTTTGTAATAAATCCTAAGCGGAGTAATTTATCACTATATAGGTGAATGCAATATTGTATTTATTTGATCTCATGGATCGTAGAAAAGGTAGACATGGTGAACATAATACAATCATGTTATAAAATCAAAGAATTAAAAATGGAAAACAGTTTGGCATCTTCAATTTAGCTGTGTGGGCAATGAATGTTCAATATGAGGCTGTGAAGATTCTTCTGTGTTCATCAAATAAGGTTTCCATACTTCTTAACCTACAGAAGTAGGTACATAAGAGCTAGATAAGTGTAGCTCGTATATTAACTACATGCCACCCAGCCACTGTACATATAAGGCGGCAGGGCGGCACTCACAGGCAAAACCACGTTTTAAAACGTGTGTTTTGTAAACAAATAGGAGGCGCGCCGTCGCCCTATTTGTCCCGCCGATCACCGCCGCAGATGTCAGTCGCCGGGTCACAGCCGCTCCTTAGCGGCTATCTACCGGCGATCGGCGGCAAACAGTGACAGACAGCACAGTTGCAGTAGCTGTGCTGTCTGTCACTTCCCTGTCAGCTTGAGGATGAGCTGATCGAGAAAGAACAG